CTCTTAGGATGATGGAATAGTTTGGGTTGGAAGGGACCTTTAAAGATCATCTGGTCCAACCCCCTGCCGTGGGCAGGGACATCTTTCATTAGACCAGGCTGCTCCTTGTTAACTGCTGTGGCGCATTGCCTGGAAATGGAACCTTAAAAATTCCTGCTTAAAAATATAACGAATTAATCAAACCTCAGAGCCTTCTAAGGAATTCTTATTCAAAGTTCAATGTCAGTCTAAGGAGCAGGCTAACCAGAGGACTATCAGGTATAATTATTTTTATCTGTCCTGATCCTTACACTTACCAAAATAACAAGAGAAAAAAAAAAACAAAAAAACAAAAAACAAAAAACCAGTTCTTTTCACTTCTTAGCATAAGCCAAAAATACTCTGTAACTGACTCTCTGCTGTCCCCGAGGGGTTATATATAGTGTAAGGCGCAATTTTATGCCTCTAGAGGGAATTCTCCGTCAGGAGTGTCAGCATAATAGAGCATTTCAGAAGTCAGGTCTTGGAGCTGCTGGGATTGGAAAGTAATCATAACAAAATCCAGCCATCCATGCGATAAGATTGTTGTGTTTTCCCACACTACTTGAAATGAGGATGAATGGTAATGCACTTGTTCTGATTTTGCAAAAGATGCTTTATTGCTTTTGAGAAGTAAATAAAGATGATGTTTTCTCCATGAAACAGTGTGGAAATATCCAAGCTACCTAATGTGTCCGTGCCCCCGCAGCAACCATTGCTGGTAGTTTTTTACACCGCATGTTGCCTTACAGAGATATTTGGACAGAAAATCTATCTGCCTGTGAAACAAGGGGGATCCCTTTCAGCTTGCCTAGCCCACAGGAGAGGGCTTAACCTGTAGGACCACAAGCAATCCCATGGGTGAGACTGGAGGGATGGGGCCAGCTCTGCGGGCTGTTTTCCGTGAGCCACGTTGTGCAAGGACTGGCTGGGAACAGGACCACGACTTTTTTCCCGTGTCACTAACAAAAGATGATGTCATGGCAACTGCAGTACTACTGCAAAAAAATGAGAAAAATCATTTGTATATTAAGAGATTTTTGATCCAACCCCCTTGGTAACTTTGGAGAAATGAAGGTTTGACGTGCCAGGGTGTCTTACCATAGCTGATCTGCCTCATCTTTTCTTTTTTCTGCCCTCTTACCTCTTCCCACCTCTGCTTAGTGGCCTTCCAGCCCAAATTCTCTTCAATAAGAGAACCAGACACATGCTCATTTTCCATCCCAAACCAGAAGTGGCAGGGAAAACGTTTCTGGGATGATGAGGAATTTCTCTTTCATATGCCAAAGACTTATCTGGCCAGAAGTGCAGGACATCTCACTGTCTGGCACAAAGTGAACTTAGAGATCAAATTATTCTTTTTGTTTTTGTTTTTGTTGGCAGCACCTAAATGATCTCTAGATCCACGTATTCACGACGCAGTAACAAACACCATGGTAGTTAATGTGATTTCGATGCATCCACGCTGTCAAACCGCAGTGACTGAGAGAGGTTGGAGAAGCACCACCTTTGTCCATACGGCAGAGATGTGTGAATGACAGGGGGGACCCGCTGGTCCCCAGAAAGCAGAGCACCATCTCACCGCAGGGCATATTCCCTCCTGTCACCTGACAGATCACAAATGGGAGACTCCTCTTCTGGAGACTACTCAGCTTCACCGCAGGGTTGCAGAGTGATGATTAAGCTTGCCCAAAGCCTGCCATGGTTTGGTGCTCAGCCACGTGCCCCTGAGTCCCCGGCAGCCTTTTGGCAGCGGGTGGCTGTGGTGGTCCTCGGAGTTGCATCTGCAGGGACAGACATGGAGCAGATCACCGAGACACGTTTCAAAGCTTTCCCGTTACTTCTTAGAGCTGCACAGACCACCGCTGCCATGAACGCTGGAAAGCACCTGCTTGGATGGAGACTTTTTGCAAATATGCTCACCCTGTCCTATGCAGCACTCCTATGACTTCCTCTGTGTACTGGCCACATGCCACCTGGCTGTGCCCCAAACAACCAAACAAACTGCCCTTGCTCCTGCTTTGCCCTCTCTCTGTTCTACACCTTCTTCCAGGGAAGAACATCCTTCCATGGAGGGGAGTGCTTTGCTTTGGGACAGTTTTGTTTGGGGAGTTTCTGCTTGCTTTATTAATAATTTTTATTTCACACACATGAAGTTTTCAATGTTCAACAACGCTAGAGAGAAGGAACCCCTTTTAGTGGGAAAAGAAAGGCAAGACAATTTGTCTTGGCCATTTCTGCATGTTTGAGTCTGTCCCAGATAACGAGCTCAGGTACATGGGCTGAAATGCAGGCAGTTGAAATGCAGGCATTGTCGGGTGTGATCTATACTTGAATCGATGCTGGATCATTTTCCATTAGCACCTTGGGACAATATTCCAGCAAAGTACTCCATAAACACTAGCCTTTGCCTTAGCTTTTTCTGTTTTGCCTCTTTGGTTTAGTTGCCCTATTAATAACATGGGGAAAATAAAATGTGTCTCTTTAAAAGGGTTTGTTGGGATGCCACTGCTGATGTTTGAAAAACGATGTGTATGCAAGAGTGCTTTTGCATGGCCAAAAAGTAGGTTTGGTCTCCGCCTGTGCTGGTAAGGGCTGAGCTTGTGGGCGGGCGCTGCACATCCCTCTCTCTATCCTTTTCCCAACCCTCTTTCCCCGAAATTTTGCCATGGAAGAACTTATATCATCTCAAGCACACAGAGGAAAAAAGAGTAAAGCACCACTTTTGCACTAAAAGTCTTGGCAGAGATGTGTGTCTTTTTCTAGGGGTGCAAAGATCCAAAGATGCACTCTGTCCAAAATTCAGTGATGAAATCAAAGCAGTGTTTCCAAGGAGCTGCATCTCTATCTTGCCTTCGGATCTAGGTAGCAAGTGCAGAGCAGCAGTGTCATCCTGGAGACAACACCTACACTTGGGGCAAATAATTGACTTTATTAAATGTTTAACATTTTAAAAATTCACAGTGCTATTTTAAAGGGGAAAAAAATGTAGTGAAAACTATTTTTTTCAATTGCTGCGC